TCGAACTACAGAGAAGAGCAAACCCCTTCAGCCTCGCTAACTGACTGCGGTTTTTCGAGAACGCAACCAGAAACTGAAAACCACCCTCGCGAGTACACATAGAAAGTATTCCACCTCGATCGAAAGATTATAGTAAATCATATACATAATATAATTGAATAATGCAGCAAAGTTTTTTTGTTTTCTCTGACGGAAAACGGAAGGCGTACAATGATTTAGGGCGCCACTGCGATTCGTCGTAATGTATAATCGACGCGAAAGGGTTTAAACCGCGGCGGTCATCCGATTATGTTGTAACAAGCGTAGGCGTCATTTTGATATACGTCCTCGGTCTTGCAGCTCTTGAAATATGCACGCGGCGTTCGCTCTTGCTAGTCTGTGTACACGTCGGACCCTAACCAACCCCTCGAAATAGAAATTTATGCGCACATGCGGTTCCTCATTAACCCTTTAATCGTGACACGCCAAACGGCGCTCGGCTTTTGTTCTTCAGATTTTTCTGCACCAACTTGTTACTCAATGATTTTATTAAAACGCGTCTCAACGTCATTAAGGTAGTTATTGCTTAAATCAAGATTATTGACAATTGTTTGAAATTTTGTGCAAGATTAATTGTGTCTAGATAAAGTGTGTCTTATTATGAACATATTATTTAGTATGTTCTACTTCGTAAGTAGTGGTTCGAGAAATTGATACGGTCTTTCTATTATTTCAGAAAATTGATGTGCTCATCCATATAAAAAAGGTTTCCCATTTTTCGGTATAATTCACGTATAAACTGGAATTTCAAGCACTTGGATGATAACGTTAAACACATCCATTATGCATTTTCCAATTCGTTTCGAGTACAATTCTCACTGTTTTTCCACGCCGATATCTAGCCAGAGTTACGGACTGTTTGCACGCCGGTTTTGCCAACTCCATAAATAATCTGCCCGCTGTTTCACGTCTTCGAGTACAAAAGCTTCGAGATAGAATCTAACGTACGGCTTTGGAACTCGTTACGTAATCTAATTTTCGAAAATGGTTTCGACCCACACCACCCGGCGTGTATTTACGCTGTACAAATTTCAGCGCGCGGTTTAATCGATCCCATGCGCTGCATCGCGCCGCACCCACGCGACAACCTCCAGTTTAATGCTGACGCACGAACAAACTCCGTTTCGCGAACCCGAATCGCACGTACCATCTGGCATTCGTCCGATAACGCGTTATCAAGTCTTACGAGATTTTTCGGAAATGCCTCACCGAACGAGCGAACGAACGTTGTTTCTATTTGATCTACAATTTTATTAGAATTCTCCATGGTTTATGATATTAAAATACTTATGATTTGTTGCATGATTTATTACATGGTTACGATCGTGTTTTATTTAATGAAAGTTTTATTAACTCGCTGAATGATAATGATTTATTAAGAAATTAGTCTGTTAACCTTTCGAATTATCAGTAGTTAAAATCGAAAGTACAGTTGAATTGCATTAACAATTGAACGCTGGTGCCAGGCACGGTCCGTGGAGAAGTTATTCAACGCTCCTAGGCGTGACTGACCCGCGAACGTTTGAGGAGCATTTATTACGGTGAACCTAGTAACCGGAAACGCTCCGCAAACGCTCTAAGCGCGCCGATGGATCGTGTTCACCGAACGATTCCAGTTGTAAGTTAATTTAACGTTTAGCGTAGGCGGGTTCAGGCAAATTCGATGAATCATGAACATCATCGAAACTTTCTCTTCGGGTTTCATCAGAGTATGGATGAATTTAATCGAGGCAATGAAGAAATACCGTGAACTCTGGGAAAATAGGAAGCGCAAGAGGTCGAGCTAAAGAAAAGTTGTTTTAATATAAATTTTAAGCCCTCTTGGATTCAAGTGGAACCACTGGAGTGTTATTTAAAATTATTGAACATACAGAGGAAGCAAATTGAATCAGTCGCAAAATATTCATATTAATTTGCAATTTTAAGTTGAATTTGATTCGATATCAGTTTGCTTTAGATCTTATACCCTTGACTGTGAACGTTTTTGAATCTTTTATATATTTTTTTAAATACAATTGAAAACGTTCAGGTAATTAAAAATGAAAAAAGGTAGAATCAGTCTGCGAACGAGCGTAAATTCAGTCCGTCTTGTCGGAGCTCACTAATCTCGCTTTACCGGACACGGGTAGCCACGATTTCATCCCGCATTCAGTTTAGAGCGCGGTCGCAGCGGTGGTTCTCGTAAATCGTGGCTCATTTTGCGTCGTGGCACGCGTAAACGAATTTCCAGCGCGGAGGCCGCGGCGGCGGCGGCGGCGGCGTGTCCAGCCTTTGAGCGCGTTATTACTCGAGCCTCTCGTCGGGCATCACGGTCGCCTGCGTTTCACGCCGGAAACCGCGGTCCGCAGCCTGCGAATCGCTCCCGGAAGCGGTCGTGATTCACCTCGGCGGCGGCGCGGAGAGCGAAAAAATTTCGACTGGCAAGAGTTGAACCCGGACATTTTTACCCGACTTCCTCTCGGCAATCTCGTAACCAGCGCGTAATTTAATCGGATTTATCAGCCAGACGGAGAGCCGCGGGAACTGGTATGGGAAACTGGTATCACGGTTTTATCCTATGAACGTTTTACAGTTTTCTACCAATTAAGAAATTAATCCCGTAAATTATTAAATTTAATACAATTTTTCATATAATAGTTGTTAAGGGGTACAATTTTTCATGTAACGATTGATGCAATATTTTATATAGTGTGTCATTCAATAATTGAAGTAATGCTTCATTTAATACTTGACACAATGTTCTGTACAATACTTGATAGAATTTTGTATGTAACAATTGATGCAATATTGTTTAACAATGTTTTATGTAATAATTGGAGTAATGCTTCATTTAATACTTGATACAATGCTTAATGATTGATCAAGTAATTTATATGCTGATTGATACAGTGTTTGATATAATAGTAATACATACTGATTTTTTAATTGTTCTAAAAGCACGTAAACTGCATAATGGAAAATCTTATTAGCAATTAACATTACTGCTAAGTTTTCGACAAAACCGACTAAAGATATTAATTTGCTAAAGAGACAAAGTTGACAGTGATCGCGATGCAAAATTAAGTCGGTGACAGCATCGGTGAACTCATTGAAAATTCGCAGCTTCGAAGCAGAACCTGTTCGTGACTCATCCCAATGAGAGGTGAGAGTAATAAAGCTGCGCCTTTATCTGCTTGAGCAAATTAGAATGCTTGTTGCGTCGCGAATGGTCTCAAGCTCGCCAATTGCTTCCGGCAGTTGTGATCTATCGACCGGTGGATCCTGACTTCTGGTTCGAACGTTTAGACAGAAACGCTAAGCGTGAAAATGTTATTTTCTGAATTTTTTTTAAATGAACGACGAGAAAATGTATTTAAGAATGAAATATTGATGTTTGAGATGCAAACAAAGGTGCATGGAAACTCGAATCTACTTGAAGAGTTTGTGCTTCGGCTTACGACAGACTCGTCGATAATCCGGAAGTTTCCAGAGGAGAGAGATGTGACACGGTAACAGAAACAATAAACAAAGTAACAGGGAGAATATTTAAAGTTCGCGTCTGGTGACGAAAATAATCACTAGACTTAATATTTACTCTGACAAGAAATTGTCGATCACTGCAGCAATATATTAAATAAGACGTTTAAAGATTTAAACAATTTTTAGAATACGCAACAACGAATCAAGCTTTTTACGTCGTGTTATACGTGGTGCAAAAATTTTTTAAGCTACGTCGTTAAAATCAGAATCGTTGATCGCAAAGATCGGAAACGATGGCCAGGTTTATCGTTAGTTATCGGTAGGCTCACTGTCGAACTGGTTTCACACGCTGCATAATTACAGCACGTATCCCCGGTGGTCTTAATAAATGAATACCGCGATAAGTGGCCGCCTAGCAAGTACAAAAAGTGAACAGTATCACTGCGGTTATTTTTAAAAAACCGATAAATGCTCAATCTTTCTTATATCTGTTGGAACAGTAGTGGAGGATCGATCGTCATTTATTGTTTTCAATCGCGTAGGTAGAGATTCGTACTTTTTATCTTCGCATCGTTCGCACGTGCTTAGAATATCGATTAATTCGATATGTCGAAAGAATATTTATATGTAAGAGTTGAACGAGAACGGTGAATGATTAATACGAATATTTGTACTTTGTACTCAAAGGAATCTGCAGAGATTTTTTGTAACAGCGTAAAACGCGGGTGGGTCGAGTTTCGCAGGTCTTTTCGTAGCCCACATTTGCATATCCGGTGGTCTCTGGGGTGAATCCTTGGCGCAAGCTGCATCGGCTTCTGTTAATCCTCGGACTTTTACTATCCCCGTGAAACGCGCATTGCGAGCTTTAAAACGAAACCCAGTTGTTTTCGTCAGGGTTCGTCGTTTGTCCCCGGGAAAACCTCGAAAAAGCCACGACCAAAACACGCGTGTCGTCGGGGACGTAACGACCCAGTTTGTACCACCGATTCACTTCAAGAGAGAAGAGGAGAGTCTGATACGTGTGATCGAAGTAACAGCGAGACAGAGTTAGAAAAGGAACGTTGAGACCGAGAGAAATAAGGACGAAGCCAGGGAAAGGATTCAGAAGGAACAAGGATGAGAGAGTACAGTCTTGGATAGAAAGATTCGATTTAATCCTACGATTTCGTATTGCTCTTTCTACTGTTCGTTGCACTATTTCTTACAATGATTGACACTATATTTAATACATTAATCATAGATACTTTGTACAATATTTCGTATAGTGGTTGATGTTGCATTTCCTACAATGTTTGTTATAATATTCGATATACAATAATTGATACGATATTTAATATCACAATTGATACAATAATTAAAACAGCAATTGGCAATAATTAAAACAGCAATAAAAGAATAATTCGTGTACATAAAGTCGTGCGTGTTACGTAATTGGTAAAAGTTTCCATGAAGTGTTTAGGTAGATAAATAAAGTGATTCGTGGGTGTTTATCTTTTTTACAGGACTGTGTTTGAAGCAGAACACCCTAAGGACAGCTGAGACCCGGGATGAAAAGAGGGTCGAAGCGAGGTCGGTGGTGGGGGGGGATCCGGCATGGTTAAAACGTAGAAGGAAAGAGCAGCGACGCAGTGGGGAGGGTTCGGTGGGTGCAAAGCACGCCGGCGCCTCAGTATCGTCGCGACCATCGTGGGAGTCGGTTCGTGAGTGCGTCTCCATTCGCGTCGCGGAACAAACGCTCGGCAAGACCGGAGCATTCTCTTTGATCCAGGTAAACTGGTACCCGTGTCGAGTCGTGGATCCGAAGATTCGTAACGATGGTCCCGCGTTCGTTCGACGACGAGGGCTAGCCTTGCCCTTGAAACAAGAGTTTCGAGTGGCCGGCGCACGACGACGTTTCACCAGCTGTGCGCCGGACTCCGCGTGTGTGCTGTGCTCGGCGACGTTTTCTTTTCTCGCGTGCGAGCACCTCCCGTCGGTCGGTACTCGTGACAAAAGTAGACCGTCATCGTGCAATCATTCTCTTAACGTGTCACTCAGCTTGTTTCGATTTGGTGGTTATTACTACGTATTGTGAGAATCCCACTTGGCGGCGGGGATTGGAACAAAGGGACACGGAGGAGCCAGCGGTCGGTCGTGAGAGCAACAGAGGTGGGAGAGAGACAGCGTGGTGTATCGATCGAACTTCCAGTTGACGTAAGTCGATGAATTTTGTCCTTAGCGAGTAATGATCCCGCGTTACAAGCGTACACGGCAAATGTTTCTTGCAACTTGAACAGAGAGTCTCCCCGAGTCGTATTTTACGTAAGTCACGTAGCCCTACGCGGCTGAACTGGTTTTCTTCTCTCTCTCGTCCTGCTCCGTTTCGAGGGCTCGAAATAGTCTTGAGAGAAGTTCACTGCCTCCTCGGTTGTGTCATCGGTAGACCGCAGATTTTCATGTGAAATGAAATAGTTAGATAAATGGATTTTATACCGAGACTTATTTTATCGTTTTAGTACAGGAATCTTTATATTATCTTGTTTCATACAGTTTTTCTATATGCATGAAATACGCGGTTTTATAATCGTCGGGTTTAGATTCACGTGATTCTCTCGATTCTCTCCGCGTTCTTTTCGTCGTGACTCTCTCGAATGTTTTCTCACGTGGTTTCCCATAAGTATGCCTACAATAATTTTTTCATCGGACTTCCTGTTCGTTGCATCAAGCTGAATGCCAGGTTCATTTAGCCGGAATCTTTGATTAATGATCACGAAATTGTTGGCGAACGATAGTGAATTTACTGTTATTCTTCCCATTTATATGTATAATGGCTAGAAAATTGTTGCGCGAGCAATCACGGGGAAATTCGTCGTGTTTCCGGTTAAATACAATGAATCATGATAGGGGAGAACGTATTTCCGAGGAGACAGATTAGTACCGGGTTTAGAGAATTCTGTCTCCTTGGATATATGAAATGCGCACGTTTTCCCTCAACCATCTGGTCTATTCACATACAACACTCCATTCAACTTGCTGAAGCGCGTTCCCAGCGGGCTTCCATTAAAGTTTCGAAAATTCTCCAAAAGTTTCCTGCCCTTAATGGAAGGCTTTTTAATAACCCCGCCGGAATACATAAGTGGCCTTTCCTTCTTTCTCATCGCACTTTTGATCATCCTTTGTCATACGCTCCCAGCTATAAATGTAATAACGAAGGTTGGTATGTTCCATGGAATAATTGGACTGATTAATATTATTTTTAACACAGTGTTGTATTTAATGATTGATACAATAATTCATACAGCGATATTCGATACAATGTTTCATATAATAGTTGATACAATATGTATTTGATGCATGGAACGAATGTGTAAGTTTCGATTCTGGGAAGACATGAGATAGCAGTAAATTCAGGGAAAAGGTTACGACTCTGTTTACGCGAATCCGCCGGATAACAGTTTGGCAAAAAAATGGGAATCAATCTCGTATTTGGAGTTGGTTGATTGGACGCGATTTTTTTATCGCCGACTAATTAGGAACACGTTTCCAGTTTTAATCCCATTCGCTATACTTAGAGTTCTCTAAATGTTCATTTGAAAGCCGGTTGGAGAAATCGTTGATTGCCACCTTATTTAACGTTTCTTGCCACAAATTAATGATCCGGTTGAGACGTACAACTTCTATGCAAATATATTTTAGAAAATCGAGCTCGACTATGTGAATCAGTCCTGTGTTATTGCCCCTGAGTCTATCAGATGAAATAATCAATCAGATATTATATTTACTAGAGAAAATATGATCTTTCGAATCCGTTTTGGATTTGGATTTTAAATATTGGGTAGTGACCTATATTAATTATTGTTCCGAGAAGCAATGGCACAGATCTCTAGTAAATTGAACCTGACTGTAAATCAACTCTTGCTTTACGTAACATGTTCCTCATCGTGCAGCTATGAAAAGATCGATTAGTATCGATTACCTCAGACTATTATCCGAGAACAGTTAGTCGTTGCGCAGCAAATTAACCGGACAGGGAAATTGCGATGATCGAGAGCCGGAAAATTTTTTATTCGTTAATTCCCTGCTAACGTTTCGAATAAGGTAATTTTTGTAGACAGCCAATTTTCCTGCAAAGTAAAACATTTGTCATATCAATTCTCTTTACCTTCTTATAATATTGTTGGATATTTTACTTTCCACAAACTTTTCCTAATTGCGCAAGATCTACAGTCTGTTATTTAACTACAAACGATAATCATCAGCTAATAGTAGGAGTATATGGAATTCATATTAATGTGTATAACCCTTGCAATACATAATAACACAAAGCCTTCAGTCTGTTAATTATTACCAGGGGACTGCGGATTTTTATGCAAAATAAAATTTAAGAAAGTATATTTAGTAACAATGTCCTTCAATCTTTTAACACCAGATTGCCGGAGCGAGTCAATTTGACTCATTGTTCAAGACTCGAAGTTCAAGTATCATGCAAAAGAAATAGAAGTAAGGACGTTTGTGCTAAATGCAGTATTTTAAAAATAGAGTATATAATGTAAAAATTGTTTCGAGTAAAGTTTCTTTAAAATAAAATGTCGGCAACAAAAGACATCCGCTAATCTAGTGTTAAGCATTATGGCATGCATTGTACCGTTAATATTTTATGCATTTTTCTCCACTACATGCATTTTTTATATAGCTAATTTTATACATACTATGAATATGTAAAGTCCAGCGTCTAATTATCAATTGTATCATATTTCTATAACAGAAATGTTGAATGTTTGATTGAGAGAGGAAGATGTGCACCTATGGTGCTGACCCATACCCGAAGGGCTGTTGGTAGAGCTGTAAGACGGGCAGCTGGCTCGTTTTCGCGTCCATCGCGAGAGATTCTCTTCTTTTGTGCCCGCGTGTTTGGTGTCGTTCCGAGTCGGTTTAAATGCTCTCTGAAACGTTACCTTTGCGAATGCTAGAACCAGTGCTCCGGGTTGAAAGCGAGACGGTTTTGAAACGCGAGAGATAGCTTCTGCTTTAGTCAGTTTTATTGCAGTTACTTATTAGACTGTAGATTTAATCCCCTTTTTTTTAAAGTCAGTTAAAGAAATCTTATGCGTGTAGCAATTCCTTTGTCATTAAAGTATTGCAATTTGAATTTTGAAGGTAGAAAGTAATTCTTCTTAAGAACATTCTTTCCCGACTTGTGTTAATTTCCCCTTTTTTTAACATTCAATTTCAAAATAAAATTACATTGGAAATTATTCATCAAGACATGTCAAAAATAAGTCTATACTTTGCGGCAAAGAAAGGATTCTCTATTTAACTACTTCTGCTGTATTGTGCTACAAGTTTGCATTGATTTCATGATTTTCCAGATTTCATCGAGTATAGGGACTAGGCAACTGATAAGTTTATTTGGATTTATCTAAAATTACCAATATAACTAAAACGAAAACTTGACAATTTACATTGATTTCATGACTCTCGAACTGGCTTTCACAGGAATAGATATTTGGATTTATACTAAAATGAAAACTTGACGATTTACATTGATTTCATGACTTTCTCGAGCTGGTTTTCACAGGAATGGATATTATTTTCTAAGATAAAATTAAATTAAATATTCCCTGAGAAGTTATTTTATTTCATTGATTATAGGCATCACAAACTTGCCCATTTCATTATCATTTTAAAATAACTGAGAATGCATTTCTCTTAGCTAGGGAAATTATAAACAGCACTGGAGCAAGTGTCTTCCAGTTTCGTTTCATATTTTTCGAGCAGGCCCAACTTAAATTGTATGTAGGGTGGCGTAGTAGGTGATGATTCGTCGTTGAAAAATGAAGAGCGTGGCCGGTGAGTGAACGCGGCAAGGATCAAAGATCAGGGAAGGAACGGTTAACCTTCGAGGAGCAGATGCTCAAACGGTGACGTGGCTTACAATTTGATCCGCGTGAAAACATTTCCCAATGCCGGAAAATTAGAATAAACAGACAGTCATTGCTTGCAGCAAGCGTTGAATATGTATTCGTATTCAGTTTACATACAATTTCATAGGACTATTTATTTATATACTATTCAGACGATTTATTACGCATAATATAACAAATTCTGGAGCCTGTGTACTATTTAAGGATGATAGAATTTGTTATATTGTTTTTTCTCATAATATCAAAAAATGCTTCAAATAAAAGTTGTAGGTACTGCTAATATCTACGGGAGAAGTGATTACCATAAAAGTACATGCAAA